GTGCGGGGCACAGAGTACAACCTCAGTGCATATTAGATGCTCTTGTTATTTATATTTACAGCAGCATAATATAATTCACTGCGACATTTCTAATATCTAGTTTGGGACCACTGGTCTCTACTGAAGACAAGGAGAAGTAGCCAAAACAAACAAAAAGGGAGAAACAAACTAACATGTCATTTTCTGTTTCCAGCAATCCATCAGATAGTCATGAGATCTGAATATTTATGAGTTTCAATCATTTAGTGGGATCCCTCAACAGGAATGTTTTGAGGAATCTATATCTAAGCTAAGTATTTAAAAAACTATTTGGCTTGTTAGTTGCTGTTACATTTATGTATAAGTAAAATCATGTATAAATAATTCAAGTGTCTGAATTTAAAAATAATATATGGATACAGACTTAATCATAGATACATAGTTATAAATGAATTTTAAAATAGACTTCTAATTACAACATATATTTTGAAATAGTGAATCTGTTTAAGTGTAAAGTTTCTAAATTCTCCTATGTGTATCTATTTTTAGACTTTGTAACAAAATGTCTTCAAGTTAGGATTATGAATCACTACATAAAAATTAGAGTAACTAAAAGAGCTGTTGTTTTGTAAAGGAAGACAATGAAGCCCACAGAGGTTGCAAAACCTGCCCAGTCATATAGTTAATGGTAACTACGTATTTGAATTTAAATTTGTCTTTGAACTCTATGCTATAATTATTAGTAGACCTGAATCTTTCTATATACCAGAGGTACTAGAAATAACATTATTAACTACACAGGACCTTAGAGCAGGATCTTTTAACAGTCCCAAATTGTAAACAACTGAAATGTCCATCAGTGTCACCAGATAAGCAAATAGTAGTATATCCATACATAGAAAATAAAAGAAAAAAATAAGAAATTATTGGTGCAGTATGGATGAACATGAATATCATGATGCTGAGTGAAATGTCATGCAAAAAAAAAGGAATATTTATTATACTTACTGTATAATTCCACTTACATAAAATTCTAGAATAGAGAAATCTAATCAATAGTGACATCTATCAGTGGTTGCCTGGAGACAGGGGTGGAGGGAGTGACATTACAAATGGGTATGTAGAACGTTTTGGGGGTGACAGAACTGTTCACTGTCTAGATTGCAGTGGTTTCATGGATGTATACTTATGTCAAAACTGACTTTTAAAAAGTGTACACTTGAAATATGTACCATTTATCATACTTTAGTTATACTCCAATAAAACTGGTAGAATAAACCTTATTGTCCGAGTCCGCTTCACATCTCCTTTAACACAAACAATAATAATAAAAAAAAAAATTACGTTACTTTCTTGTGAAATTGGCAGCAGTGATCCCAGGGATTTCAAGTACTAAACAAGATAAGTAATGAAAGACTTTCTGGCTTATATTCTTAAAGTTTAATTTATTTTGAAATAGTGCTTCCTCAGTGTTTAATGAAAAAGATATCAGAGCTTAGAAGAATGGGTCAATCTACAAATAATATAACCCAGTTAACTGTGCTTAAGTGATTTCATTTCTCTTCTGAAATGTTGTGAAATGGATGCTGTTAGTGACTATGATTTAAATGGATATGTGAGAAACAGCTTCTCAGTTTCATCTGGAACTTCTTTTTGGCATTCTAACAAATAAACAACCTGTAGAATACCTAGAATGTGCATTTACTCAGAAGAAGAAATTGTTTAAAAGTGTCCGATAGCAATGTGCGGTATTCTCTGGACTGTAAGTCCCACTTACAATCGGCTTAACTTCTGGAGGGCAGTGGTTAGCCGGAGGGAGAACTCAAAAATTTGTTGAGTTTATTTCAGATTGGCCAAGATGACAGGTCACACGTGGCTGGAAACTTATTGTTAGTTCCACGTACTAGTACTGACTAAGCCAGTGGTTCTCAAAGTTGAGAAATGTACTGAAGGGAAAAATATCAGAACTCTACTCACCTCCTTTCAGGAAAATTGCTTCTTATGAGTACGAATATAAACTTTGTTTATGAGCTTCGTTCAACTGTAAGCCAAAAATTATTTTACAAATTTTAAATGCACACAAAACTACAAAATCAATAACGTTTACAATTAAAATTAATTTAACTTGACAGATGAAAATATTTTGCTGCAATTAAATTGCCTCTCAAAGTGAATAAGATATGGTATGGACTCTGGTGCTGGTTTCATTTTTTCATTTTGTTTAGTTTGTTTTCAAGTCCAGCATATTTCTAGGACTGTGGGCCATATGATATCTCTGCTCTGCCACTTATTACCTGTATTATATTGGGCAAGCTATTTGAACTTTTCAGTTTCTTTGTTTCTTGTCTATCAAGTAGAGACTGCCATGTTTACCATAATAATAGCCAACAGAGTATTTTAAACACATTACTCATACTAACTCATTTTATCCTTACAGCAGTGTTGTGAGGTGGGTACCATTTTTCACATGGAGAACCTAAGGCTCAGAAACAGTAATTTGCCCAAGGCCAAGTCACCAGCAGATGAATGAGGTAGGATTCCAAATCAGACTTGAAAGGTTAACTACCATCCTATGCTGTCCCTCATAATGTTGTAGCTTAAAAATAATTCCTAGCTTATCAAGATTAAATGCATGGATATATGTAAAGTGCTAAGAATTATGCCAGGCCCAAAATAACAATCAGTCAAAGTTGGCTACGGTTGTTACTTTCTCTTATCTCCCATTACATTTTTTTAAGAGTATGGTAATGTCCCACAGACCTTCACTTGACAAGAATGTATCACATACTATGTCTATCTCACTTCTTTTCTCATCAGCTTGGACCAATTAAATAGGTGAGACAGTGTCTGTGTAATTTGTTGCACGATGTAGGCCCAGAAAAAAATCACAGTGCTAACCAGGCAAAATTCACATTAATTCTTTTATTTAATCTTTAAAAATAAAAACTAGTGGATACCTAATAATGTATCCAAGGATTCCCTCCCTACGTCTCCACACACACCACCTGCCGCTTTCAGAGACCCCGTTTATAAAACTGCTCACTTGTTTACACTTTTGAGAGAGGGTGATAGCTCTGGACTGCTTAAAAACAGAATTTGCATCCCTGGTGGATTATAAGTTGATGCGTTGTCTCCTTTTTTTGCCCAGCACTGTACCTGGCACAGAGCTGAGACTCACATGGTTGCTGAGCTGAATCCCAGGGCCACCAAAGGCACGGAGACATGAACCATAGACAGGCATAAAAGGGAGACTGCAGTGCCAAACAGGTCAGCGAGGACCGTGCTGGACAAACAATCTGCAACAACTCCAAGTCCCACAATTCTAGGCAAAGAACACATCATAGCAAATTACAGCTGTGACTGAGTTCAGCCTGTCGAGATCAGATGGAGTGGGCTCAGCTCATGAGCACCTGTTGAATTCCAATCCGATATTTCTCTCCTTTACGTTTAGACTTTTCTTGTCAGTATAAAGAATACATGTGCCTTTCTCTCTGTAGGTCCAGATGGGAGCCAGGTTACTTAGAAAAAAAGAAAGACTGGAAATTACGGAGTTTATGTTGCAATGACTGGCTCCTCTGCCGTTCGAGGGAGCTTAAAACAGCCAAATGAACAATGCCCACAGTTCCCACACATCCGTATCGCCGCGCCGTGACAGTGCAGAAGCCACGTAGTCACGCTGTTGTCACCTGCCAGGTAACGGGACTTCGGGAACTCTTCTGGGACGTCCACTCGGGGACGGAGCGGAAAACATGGCTTCTGGCTCGTCCCCGGGGCCTGCGTCTCCCTCCCTAGGACCCGGAGCGGCGGAAGTGGGACGCGCGTTGGGAGAATGGAAGGGAAAGCGCGGAAGAGCGCGATTAGAAGGTCGCAGCCCTGCGAAGTGCGCAAGCGGTGTGGACGCCTCCCCAGCCCCCTCGCTGTTCTGCGAGTTCCTGCGGCGGCCGGGGGTTTCTGGAAGGAAGCCAGGGAGGCCCTGGACTCAGAAGCCTCAATGCGGCAAATTACAGACCTTGTTTTGTGCCCTTGTAAGGAACCCTTCTCCTTAGGAGCTCCCTCCACCCGCCCCAAGCGAGGGCGGGGACAGCCAAGGGATCCAGATCTTTCGGCCTCCGGAAGTCGAAACGGCCCTCAGACAACCGATCTAAGAACCTGAAACTTCCAGACCACTATCGCCCAGACGGACGGTGGTCAAAATCACCTTAGGAGTTTTGAAGAATGCACATTCTGAGGCCCCACCCCGGGTCGCTCATTATCATCCGAAGTGGAGCCTGGAAATGTGCACCCTTCCAAAAGCTGATTTAGAAGACGAACGTCTGCAACCTCCGCTCCCGTCCCAGCGGCGCTTCTCCTTCCCCACCTCTCCGCCCCCGCAACCGGTCCCAGACCAAAGGTAGGAGTGCTGTTTCCTGGTCGCAGGATGTCAGCCTCGCAAAACCGCAACCCAGGGTCAGCAGGGCCGGGGGCGCCGCCCGGGCTCCGCCACGCCCCCCTTCCCTCCCAGGCCAGGCAGGCAGCGCCCCCGCCGCAGCCCAGCACCCACACCTTTTCCGATGACTTCCAGCAGATCCTTTTCCTCCTGGGTCAGCTCGCCTTTCTTTATGTGAACCATTGCTTCCGCCAGCTTGACAGCGATTGTTTCTTTGGGAGTATTAAAAAGTAAACGACGTGTCTGTATTAGGAACGCCAGCCGCAAGGTTAGGCAACTTGAGACTAGGACATTAAGTAGCCAACCGCGGAAGCATTCGAATTCTCTCCACCCTCCCGGGGGCTGGCGAGCAGCGGGCGAGCTCGGGCGAGCCGGGCGGGCAGTCTCTGCAGGCCCAGCAGTAGTCTCCGCCCCCCGCGAGTCATTGGCCCGGCCGGGAGGAGGAGCTGCAGGAGGCGGCAGCGAGAGTCTCCCATTGGAACAGCCTGGGAAGGAAAAACCAAATGGAGAAAATCAGAGGGGGAAATTAAATGCCTGTTACACGTCTCCCACCGCCATCCTTTCCGGTGCACGTATTTAGGGACACACAGTATTTAAATTCTCTTTCTGGAATTTCTGTGTTCGGCAGTTTCTGCTAGGGGCATGCATCTCCCTTGCTCTCGATATACACCCCCCTTCATTTCCCAGGGAGTGGAGCGGCCCGGGACGGGGGCGGGCTGGGAGGCGGGGCGGCGTGGTAGGCGGGTCTGCGCCGAGCTCCGTGTGTCGGTGTCAATGTGTCTGTCCTTCACTCCTCCATTGTCTGCCGCCACCACTGCCGCCGCTGCCACTGCCGCTGCCGGAATCGCTGCAGCCCCCAGCCTCGCGCGTCGCCGCTACCTCCTCGGACAGGTGAGAAGCAGCCCAGGTAAGGCAGCGGGGGAGCCGGGAAGCCTTCGACAGCCGGAGCCAGAGCCCCACCGGGAGCTTCCCCCCGTGCCGGTGCTGGCCCTAAGGAAGCATGTGCCTGCTGGGGCGGCTTCCTTCCTCTCGGTGGGGAAGCCGCCCCTCCACCCCATTACCATCACTCATACCGCGTATCAGTTCCCCGGAGTGAAGACCCGCCACTTGCCACATTTGGCCGTCCCGGGAGACCGAGAGCGGCCAGGCGCCGGCCACGAGGTGGGAAGTGGCGGGTGCCCATCGTCCCGTGCGTGGCATCGCCAGATGTAACTCCCGGGGAAGCCAGGGTTGAGGCTTTGGACTCGGGGTGGGGTGGTGAGGAGAGCCTCCCATTACGAGCGAGATGAACGCATGTGAGAGTAGTCTCGGGAGAAGGTAGTTCTCATTTGGCAACCTGCCCTCCTCACCCCTCCACCCACCCACCCCCACTTGTCATCTCCTTTGGCGTCTGTGGGAGCTGTAGAAGAAAACCGGATCTGATCGCTCTATGGTGCCCGTTAAGGACGTTTGGAAGCAATTTACACTTGAACTAATACTTCGTTTATGAAAGACAGCCGGGGATGAGGGGGGGAGGAGGGCCTCTTCTCTCTTCTAGAGTTCCCAGTCTCTTTGTAACTCAGATCTTGAGATTTATGGAAATAGGAAGGGGAGGGAGAAGGGGCGGAGATTAAATTGGTGTTGCTGTCTATATATAGCATTAGATTAGCCTCTTAATCCAACCTTCATTCAACTGTAATATGTAGCTTCAGGCTTTCACTATAGGAAGCCAGGGACCAAATACAAGCGTGTACCCTCCTGTGACTCAGAGACAGGACTTGCTTGCTAATACGAAGTCAGTCGTTCCTCCTGGGTGCACATCCATAACATATTTACAGCATCAGCGAAAGCTTCTGTAGAAATTAGTGTTTACTGTTGTTTCTCTACAGTCTAGTATTAGTGTTTCTCCCAAGACGCGTCTGCTTCAAAGAGAAATATTTGTATAATTATGTAGATTTTTTTTGTTAAGCATCCCCCGCATACCATCACTTTCTCCCCGCTGTGCCATATATGAAGTGAAGTGTATTTTCCTCTGGCCATACGCCTTCATTTCTTGGAAGCATTCACTAACACTTGTGAAATCCTGGAAGATGTTCATTATTTCCTGCCTTTAACAAAATTTTTTCCCCAAATCCCAGATGTTTTCTTGTCTAAGTCTTCATCTTTACAGGCTGGGGCAGATCTGAGCCAGAACATATCACATGAAAATGGTTTGAAATTATTCATCGCAATGTATAACAAAGAAACTTTTGTTTGGGAATGCTTTAATAATGATGTGTCTGTTCAAACAAGTAGTAACGCTTTTGAGTGACCCATCTTTTGTAACACTTAGAATGCTGCTATTGCCACAGTTACAACTGATTGAAAACACAGTATCATGAAGAAGAAACCCAGAAACCTAAGAAAATGCTTGCGGAGTAACCTTTCCTTACCATGTGACTTAACATTTTACAAGGGATGTTACAGAATTGGGTGCTTCATTGACAGTATTTCCATCTCTTGTGTCAAATTGGGGCCATGGTTACTTGAAGGTCACACCTGTTTGTCTCACTGAAGTTGTCTGTTCCTCGAGGATAGCAACTTATTATCTATTTTCCTGGTGCCTTATGGGACGTCCTTGGTATTTAGTCCTCTGTGAGTACATGAATTCCGTAAAGCTAGAGTGAATGACATTTAAAGTAAAAAAGCTAACATCTGCCTAGAAATGTATATAAATAATATGTTAAGTTTAAATTTCTAGAAGCAGATACGTAATGGATTGTGTTCATCAGATGGATTCCATTAATCGTTTTTGGCCAATGTTAATATTTAATGTAGGAATAAGATTAGCTAATGAGCATACCTTAGACTAGATCAAGGAACTTTTTTTGTATTAAGAATATATTCACATCTAAGGAGTTTTGTTGGTAATAAAATAGCAACTACTTATTGGGTCCTTAGTCTGTGCCGATATTCTACCAAGATGCTTTGTTATAAGATTTGTTTAATCATTGTTGTAGCGATCTAGGAACTAGCCAGTATTACCCCTGTTTCTGAAAATAAGAGGACAGAAACAAAAAGAAGTTAATTTGCCCACAGACCCACAGTTTGGAAGTATCAGAGCCAAAATTGGAACCTAGGTCTGTCTCCAAAACCTTTTCGCTTTTCATTATTCTCTATCTCTGTGGCTAGCAATAAGGGGGAAATTATATATTCTTTAGCTAATAGATAACACATTCATGTGGTTTAGCGTGACAGAGGTACAAAAGACTCTCTGACCTCTTTGCACAGTTTCTTCTCCGTGCCGTACAACCCATGGTGTCTATTTTTCTCATACCTTTCTGAGAAATTGTATGTGTTTATATAGCTTATATGTATAGTTCCACTTTTTTTTTTTTTCTTACAGAAATGAGAGCATACTAACACATTGTTCCACAATATGCAATAGAATTTATATGTTGCTTTGGTCTCTGTTTCTTTCTTCTCCTTTTAAAAAATAATGATTTCTGAAATGTATGAAATCCTTATATGTGTCCCCATCATCCCTTTTTCTACTGCTACCACCCTGGACGTCTCTTGGCCTGTTGCAGTGGATTCCTAAGTAGCCTGCTTTCCATCCAGCTCATTCAAGGCACCACCATTAAGGCACCACCACCAATATACACTGAGCACTCATCATGCACCCAAGGATGAGACGTACTTTGTAAAGACAGAACTGATTCACTTAAAGCATGTCAGTGGCTCTCCACCTGCCGCAGAATAGAGGCTCTGGTCTCGTACTTCTGGTTCCTCTCCACCAGCCCAGGTTCGGTCTAGGAGGCTCCGACTTCTGGTCCCAGCCGGCATTTCCAGTCAGCCAGCCCCTCCCACATACTCTGCTCTAAGGTCACCTCACTGATTCCCTAACATGCCAGTAGTTTCCACCCCTTTGTTCCTGCTTTTCTCTTCCTGGAGTGACCTCCCTTCCCTCTTTACCGAGTCTTTCTCTCCTTCCAGATCTGATGAATCTCCTTCCAGATCTGATGAAGTGTCAGCTTTCAAGATACTTTCATGGTCCCCTCTCCCACCCCATCCAGGAGGGGAATACAGGCCCTAGTAAACATTTTTATTCCTGTCCCTCAGCAAGGGCGATAAGAACAATCTTTCCTCAGGAGTTGCTGGTACAGTTGCTGACATCCTCTAATTTTCTCCTATCTTCTTAGGAGCCCTGGTCCCCACCCGCCTTGTACCCCGAAATTAACATCACCTTTGCTTCTTCATCTGGATCCCCATGAAAATAACCTAAGGCAGGCACCTTTTTCATGACATCCTAGTTCAGTTTTTGTTAATCTATTTGACCCCTTCTCCTTCCAGACTGTAAATTAACTAGAATTAGTTTACCTTTGCTTCTCAAGATTGTGACCCATGTCTCGCACGTAGTGTGTGCTCAGTACATGCTGAGTTGAATTCAGTTTGATCTCCAAGTTATTTCAGGTGGATTTGTTTCCCTACTTGACTAATCCTTCCTGGCAATGTGAGGTGATGTGGCCCTAAGCACACACAATCATAACCAAGGGGAGAAGGTCTGTAAATGTTTTCGGTCTCAAGCTGCTTGACATTCTGATGAATGCTACCAACCAAGAAAAAAAAAATTGTACATATGCACATGTTACAAATTTTGCAGACCATTCCTGGACTCCCTCTTTGAAGCCCTTGACGTACAGCTCTGTGCTTTTAAGAGAATGCCGTTTTCTTTTTATTGCAGGGGAATAGCTCATTTTTGAGTGTTGTAACTTTTGGGGTAATGTTTTCCTTGACATTTAACTTTCTTTTCTTGGGTACATTTCTTGACTGAGTGGATATTTGATGATATTAAGGATTTTTATTTTCTTTGAAACTAATATTGTGGTTATATGTTTAAAAGGTCCCTTATCTTTTAGAGATATGTACTGAATTGTTTAAGGGGGGGAAATGGTAGGACATCTAAGACTTGCTTCAATATAATTTTGTGACAGTGGGGGACAGGGACTGAGTAAGAGTATTAATGAGACAAAGTTCACCGTGTAGTTAAGGGTTGAAGGTGGGCAATGAGTACATTGACTTCATTAGACTGTTCTCTCTGCTTTTGATACGTTTGAGATTTTCCATAAGGAAGTCTTAAAAAGGAAATCTGGACATATTACAGCCCCTAAGAAATTGTCGTTGTAGTTTAAACCAAAAAAAAAAAAAAAAAGAGAGAGAGAGAAAGCAATATGGATACAAATGCTCTTTCTCTATACTTAGAGTTGAGCTTATGCGGTTATCCATTTAATGTTAAAACAGTTACACCTAAATCTGCAAAAGACTGTCTTGTGAACAATGCATTTCCATAAACTGTTCACATCACCCTTTAGCTTCTCCACAAAACGAAGAGGTAGGTGGCGTATCTCAGTGCTGTGTCACAAGCTTGTGAATATCCTACTGGCAGCTAATCTTCATCTTTTTTAGACCCTGACGAAGTAATTTGCAGACACGTCTCAACAAGGGGTGCAAATATATTTCGTTTAACTGAGAAAATCAAGACATGAATGAAGTGGAGATACTGATTTTCTTCTTGTGTCACATAAGTCAAGTCAGAAGGCATTTCCAAACAAAGAAGCACTTTGGTGATGTCACGAGCAATAGTTAGAGGAGGTATCTCACTGCCTGAAAATCGGGAGCACACTCAGGTGTGCCTGCCACGTCCTTCCTCAGGATTTGCTTAACTAAATGCTTGCTTTGACAACTGCTTTCTGAATTCGTAAAACTTTATAACTTGCGTGTCTTGATGTTTATGTTTCTTTTATGATGTTTTGGACTTATGAAATGTTAATGTTTCCAGAAGCCAACATGGAATTTTTTGGTATCATTTATAACATTTCTTCCCAGATTTGGTTTGAAGCGTTCTTAAAGAATATTTAATTAAGCTTCAAAGC